GGCGAGTCCACGTGACCGGGCCCCGGGGCCACGTGACTGCCGCTGCTCAGCCGGGTGGGCCGGGTTGGTTCCCAGCCGCCGGGGCGGTGGGCCCGCTGAGCGTTACGCGGAGCCGGCGTGGGCGCGGCGTGGGCTCGCGCTCTTTGGGGGACTTAGGGACTATGTCAGGCGGAGGAGTGGGGGAACCCCGGCGCTCCGGGAAACTGGAGGCCGGGTTAAGGAGGGGGCGCCGCCTCTGGACGGAGCAGCTGGCAAGCGCTGGAGGGAACAGAGGGAACCTGTGTGGCCGGAGGGGCGGGACCGTCCGCGGGGAGAGCGGGAGCCCTGCCTGGACGGCGCCGGCCCCCCAAGGCGAGAGAGAGGCTCTTTGTCCCGGCTGGGCTGCAGCTAAGGGGGGCGGGGAGGTGACTCCGGCCCCTTCTCTGGGGGACGCAGTGGATGATGAGCTGCACCCTAATCAACCCTATGTCCGGTGTCCCCGCAGGTGGTGGGCAGTGGTGGTGCTGGCTGCGCTCCCCTCCCTGGGGGCAGGTGGGGAGACCCCCGAAGCCCCTCCGGAGTCATGGACCCAGCAATGGTTCTTCCGCTTTTTGGTGAATGCTGCTGGCTATGCCAGCTTTATGGTACCTGGCTACCTGCTGGTGCAATACTTCAAGCGGAGGAACTACCTGGAGACAGGTGTGAGGGGAAAGGGTGGGAAAGTGTGCTGAGTACATATTGAGAGTGTTGGCAAGCTATCCAAACAGGGATGTGGTTTGGAAGGGTGGGAGGAAGGGGGGGGCCGGCCACAGGGCAGGCTGGCTGCTCTGGAAAAGATGATGAGGTGCTAGGAAGAAGACTGGTACTTGACCTTGTGTGCTTTCTTCAGGCAGGGGTCTCTGCTTCCCTCTGGTGAAAGCTTGTGTATTTGGCAATGAGCCCAAGGCCTCCGATGAGGTTCCCCTGGCTCCCCGGACAGAGCCGGCAGAGACCACTCCTACTTGGCAGGCCCTGAAGCTCCTCTTCTGTGCGGTTGGACTCCAGGTAGGCTCTGCTCTTCCTGTGCTGGGTCCCAGTGGGCAGGGTCTCTGGAACCAAGTTTTCACCCTTCCAGTCCCAAGAGTGTGCTAGTTGGTTGTGATGTGTCCCCCTCCTCCTAGGGGCATACTGTACCACCTGGTGATCTTCTTAGAAGTGGTTGGAGGAAATGTCTTTTATTCTTTTTTCTGTGATTTCTGCTGTCCTATTATTACACTTTCCCCTCCAGTGATGTGTTTCATATACTGTAAACCCACTGGTAAGTTGGGGAAGACATTCAGTCTTCCCCCACACTGCATGTGAGAAGGGGTGCCAAGATTTTGACCTCATGGCATTTTTGAGTAGACACTAGTCCAACTCATATAACATGTTAAACTGATAGGTGTCCCATCTACTCAAGAATTCTTGCCTCCCTGAATTGGTTGGAAATAGGAAAATATTTGGGATGGAGTCAGCTCTAACATACCCTGCTGTGGGGACAGACAGGGTCTGGGCAGTTCTAAAGCATTTGTTGTTTTTCACACTTGACTCCCTACAAGATGAAGCCAGGCTCGAGAGGGAAAGGGAAGCTCCTAGTTACTACAGCTGAACCAAGTTATGTATGCTGTCCTTTAAGTCATTTAAACAGCATCCTGAGGAAGAGGGAGGTTGTTGAGATGCTTTTTTGCCAACCTTTATCTCTTCTGTCTCCACCCTCCCCCACCCAGGTGTCTTACCTGACTTGGGGAGTGCTTCAGGAAAGAGTGATGACCCGCAGCTATGGGGCCACAGCCACATGGGTAGGTGAGCGCTTCACAGACTCTCAGTTCCTGGTGCTAATGAACCGAGTGCTGGCACTAATCGTGGCTGGACTCTACTGCCTCTTCTGCAAACAGCCCCGACATGGGGCACCCATGTACCGGTATTCCTTTGCCAGCCTGTCAAATGTGCTTAGCAGCTGGTGCCAATATGAAGCTCTCAAGTTTGTCAGCTTCCCCACCCAGGTGCTGGCCAAGGCCTCAAAGGTGATCCCTGTCATGCTGATGGGAAAGTTGGTGTCTCGGCGCAGCTACGAACACTGGGAATACCTGACAGCTGGCCTCATCTCCATTGGAGTCAGCATGTTTCTGCTGTCCAGCGGACCAGAGCCCCGAAGCTCCCCAGCCACCACACTCTCGGGGTTGATCCTGTTGGCAGGCTACATTGCCTTTGACAGCTTCACCTCAAACTGGCAGGATGCCCTGTTTGCCTATAAGATGTCATCAGTGCAGATGATGTTTGGGGTCAACTTCTTCTCCTGCCTCTTCACAGTGGGCTCTCTCCTAGAGCAGGGGGCCCTCTTGGAGGGGACCCGCTTCATGGGGAGACACAGTGAGTTTGCTGCACATGCCCTGCTGCTATCAGTGTGCTCCGCATGTGGCCAGCTCTTCATCTTCTACACCATTGGACAATTTGGGGCTGCAGTCTTCACCATTATCATGACCCTCCGCCAGGCCTTTGCCATTCTTCTCTCCTGCCTCCTTTATGGCCACACCATTACTGTGGTCGGGGGCCTGGGGGTGGCTGTGGTCTTTGCTGCCCTTCTGCTCCGAGTGTATGCCCGGGGCCGCTTAAAGCAACGGGGAAAGAAGGCTGTGCCCATTGAGTCCCCTGTGCAGAAGGTTTGAGACCTGAAGAGCAAAGTGAACTAGGACCTTTTCACTATACCTTACTGTTATCCTCTCCTACTGTAACTTCTCACAGGTGGCTCAGTGGCAACACACAGGTGTTTCCTCAGTATCACAAACCAGCTCTGCAGTTAGGGGTAGAGAAGCCAGGAGGCAGCCTTCCCTTTTGCCTTAATTCATCAGTTCTCTAGTAGGCAGGATTGAGCCCCAGGATAGAGAGGACAGTCATCAGTGTGGAGAGGGACTGAGGTAAGCCCCTTCAAATTCCCTTAAGTCTTGCCCTGTTGGCTCTGCCACCAACCTCGCCTGTGCTTATCCCCTAAATACCCACCCCCTTTTACAGATTCCCTCCCAGAGACCTGTATTTCTCACTCTGGTGATTGTAAGGGGAAAGCTGTTTTCCTAGGGTAAATGAAAGACGGTGCTGTGCTAGGGGAGGGGGATGGGAGAGCCCTGCCCAGCAATACCACCCTCTATGCTCCTGGATCCCTAGGCTCTCTACTCAGTGAGCCAGTTGCAGGTTTTGGTACTTTGGAAATGTAACTTTCTGCTCTCATAATTTTATTTTTATTAAACTGCTGCAATGGGCTTGGTCCTGTGTTTTGGTTGATGGAGTATATGCTTTAAAGAAGGAACGTTGATGTACTATTATGTACCATATAACCTGTACTCCAAAGAACTATATAAAACCACATCATCTTTATTTTGCATACTTTAATTTCAGAACAAAATAAAAAAAAACAATACACAACATCTAAACCCAATGTCAAATATAAGAGAAGGCTTGAGGCCCTTGTAACCTGCCTTATGCAAAGACAGGAGAGGAAAAAACTTTGCTAACAGTAGAGG